GTGTTCACATGTAGTCCACACAAAATATCCTTTCACCGTACAGATCTTCCTTCTTTCTCTGACGCGAACGGTAGCTTATTCCAAACACGTTCCCCCTATGCCTTCTCTCGAAGAACAGATCTGATTGAATTTTGTTCCAGGTGTAGACTCCATTACAATTTCAGCTGGGACATAGTCCTCTGAAGCGGATCGCGCTGGAAATTCTACATATTAGATGCGATGCGGCAGCCGAGACAGGATGTGTGTGTAATTCTACCTATCCACCGGCTAAACTAATGTGGTGTCACGGAACGGGGTTGCTGGCTCCAGGTTGGGAAATTCCTGGAGATTTGGGGGGTGGGGGCGGAGCCTGAGGAAGGTGGGGTTCGGGGAGGGGAGGGGCTTCACTGGGGTATGAAATGGCAAAGAGTCCACCTTCCAAAGCAGCCATTTTCTCCTGGGGGACTGATCTCTGTTGCTTGGAGACCAGTTGTCATCCCAGAAGATCTCTAGCTACCACCCAGAGGATAATACAAAAACTGAGGGTCACAGTGTTGGGAAGATACGGAAAAGTATATGACACCGTGCGTGATACACCAGTTTGGTGTAGTGGTTAAGTGCACGGACTCTAATCTGGGAGAACCAGGTTTGATTCCGCACTCCTCGACTTGCACCTGGCTGGATGACCTTGGGCAAGCCATAGTTCTGATATTTATGCAGTAGCCAAATTGCTCACTCACAACTTTTGTGCCAGTAGCTCACAAAGTAGAATTTTTGCTCACAAGACTCCACGGCTTAGAGGGAACATTGCCGTGCGTAATATACCAGTTTGTTGTAGTGGTTAAGTGCACGGACTCTTATCTGGGAGAATCGGGTTTGATTCCCCACTCCTCCACTTGCACCTGGCTGGATGACCTTGGGCAAGCCATGGTTCTGATAAGAGCTGTTCTTGAAAAAGAGCTGTTTCTGTCAAGAGCTCTCTCAGCCCCACCTACCTCACAGGGTGTCTGTTGTGGGGAGGGGAAGGGGAAGGAGTTTGTAAGCCGCTCTGAGACTCCTTCGGGTAGTGAAGGGCGGGGTATAAATCCAATCTCTTGTATTTTGTGCTCTTCTTCTTCTCTAATAGATGTACGCTTAAGGTAGATGTATTTTGTGCTTTTTATTTTTATTTTAAAAAATTTTCTATACCGTTATATAAATATTGGTGTCAAGCATTACCAATCATAGGTTTCACCCAAACAATACATCAGAGTGCAGGTTTACACTCTGTTCAAACATTCAAACAGCTGTCAGACTCGGACCTATGTTGGATTGATTGCAGTATTATTGACGTTACGTTGCTAATGCTAACTTTTGCTTTTGTAACCCTGCCGCTTTGTGCATCTGGCTTTGCTAAGGGGGGGGGGAGTGTGAGAATGAGTGTAAGGAGGTGTGAGGAGGCGCCAATCCCTAGTAACTCATTCTGAAAGCAGCCCCCCCCCCCCCCACCATTCTCAGGAGACCTTGGGACAAGATAGTACCATGGACTTGGCTAGTTGGGTCACATACTCTTTCATGACCTTTAGTAACACCTGTGTGAGTGTGATGTGTGCCTGGGAGTGGGACCCATTCCCTGATTATCGATCCTTTGCTTTTGCTTGTTAGTTCTGACACAGGTGTTCACCTTGGTAAAAGGTAAAGGTTCCCTTGCTCGAAAGCCAGTCGAGTCCGACTCTAGGGTTGCGGTGCTCATCTCCGTTTCAAAGCCGAAGAGCCAGCGCTGTCCAAAGACGTTTCCGTGGTCATGTGGCCGGCATGACTAAACACCAAGGCGCACGGAACGCTGTTCCCTTCCCACTGAAGTGGTCCCTAGTTATCTACTTGCAATTTCTTGCTTTCGAACTGCTAGGTTGGCAGGAGCTGGAACTAGAGACGGGAGCTTACTCCGTCATGCGGCACCCGGGTCTCGAACTGCTGAGCTACTGACCTTCCACAGCCTGCAGTTCAGCGTCTTAACCACTTGAGCCACCGCAGCTCCTTCTCCAAGTTCACCTTGACAGAAGTCCAAATCTTAACAATAAATCTGGCCAAGGAATATTGTGTGTAGAGTGGATTCTCTGAAGGCCTGACAACAGCACCTTGTCAGTTTCACAATCACTAGCCCCGCAGAACTCTAGTAATTTACCCATATCGAATATAATCTTTTTCAAGGACCGTGATGTACATACAGGACATAAGGCACAATAAATTATCTTTGTGAGCATAAAACTCTCAAGATAGCAGCATATTTTCTAGGGTCCCATTGGAACCTTTGCAGCAAACATAATAACCTACCTAGGAGAACGTATCTCTCAGGTTCTATCAGGCAGAGATATGTTCTTTTGGGTAGGTTATTATGTTTGCTGCAAGGGTTCTGATGGGCCCCCAGAAAATATGCTGCTATCTTAAGAGTTTTATACTCACAAAGAGAATTTATTGTGCCTTATGTCCTGAGTCGGACTCGACTGGCTTTTGAGCAAGGGAACCTTTACCTTTACTATGTCCTGTATGTACCTCACGATCCTTGAAAAAGACTGTATTTGATACCGGTCAATTACTAGAGTTTGGTGGGACTAGTGATTGTGAAACTGACAAGGTGCTGTTTGAATGTTTGAACATGGTGTAAATATGCACTTTGATGCATTGTTTTGGTGAAACCTATGTTTGGTAATACTTGACACAAGTATTTATATAACAATATGGAAAAAAAATTTAAAAAGGAAAATAACAGTGTTGACAAAGCTGGATGGGCCATTGGCCTGATCCAACATTGCCTTCTCTTATGTTCTTAAAAGCACACTGCATGATCACCCACTAGTCGTTTGGGAAGCATCTATCAGCCACGGAATGTTAGCGAAGTGCAGGTTATGGATTGGAAGTGAGAGGGCTGCTCTGGTTGGGAAAAAATTAATCATTAAGCTACATTTATTTATTCATTTATTTTATTTTATTTATTTATTTCACTTTTACCCCGCCCTCCCCGCAAGCAGGCTCAGGGCGGCTTCCAAAACTGACGAGCAGAATACATACACAATAAAATATAAAACACAAACAATCCATATAAAACATTCATTAGATGGTGATAAAACTAAAATGTAGTTTAAAGACACATTCAACGGTGCCCCCTCGTTAGATCGTATTGGATCGAAGTTCACCCAGGGCGCTGCTGGTACGCCATCTCTCCTATCGGAATGCCTGCCTGAAAAGTTCTGTTTTCACGGCCCTGCGGAACTGTGACAAGTCCCGCAGGGCTCTAATCTCGGCAGGAAGCTCGTTCCAGTAGGACGGAGCTGCAAATGAAAAAGCCCTCGTCCTGGTTACCATCAACCTGCCTTCCTTAGGGCCAGGGAGGTCCGGGTGATTTTGGGATCCTGATCGCAGTGCTCTCTGGGGAACATACGGGGAAAGGCGGTCCCTCAGGTAGGCCGGTCCCTGACCATAAAGGGCTTTAAAGGTCAAAACCTGCACCTTGAAGCGAATCCGGAATGCTATTGGCAGCCAGTGCAGAGTCTTAAGCACAGGCTGGATATGCTCCCACCTGGGGAGACCCATCAGCAGCCTGGCCGCCGCATTCTGCACCAGCTGTATCTTCCGGAGTTGCCCCAAAGGCAGCCCCATGTAGAGAGCATTGCAGTAGTCCAACCTCGAGGGGACCATAGCATGGATCACTGCAGCCAGATCCTTGCGTTCGAGGAAAGGAACCAGCTGCCTAATCAGCCGAAGATGGTAAAAGGCTGCCTTGGCAGCGGCCGCTACCTGGACCTCCATTGTTAAGGAGGCATCCAGGAGCACTCCCAAGCTCCTGCCCCTCCGAGCTGGCACGAAATAATGCTGGGATCCCAAATCTGGGGCACAGTTCGTGCCATGAGCCCAAAGGAGCTGCGGACTTGTGTTCCTTGCTCATACAGTTTAGCAAGCTGCTCGAGAAATTAAGGAGAGCTTCCAAAGCTGTTTCATCATAGTTTCTTTAAATGTGTGTGTGTGTGGTTGGGGAAGGTTTCTGACGGGATATGCAGCGCTTCTTTGGACCCCGACTTCAGTATCCTTTTAAAATTTAATGGCTGCGTGTCCTTCTGTTAACAAATTAACAAATCCTCTGTTTAGGAAAGGATATTAGAATTGGCAAAATGTAGGGGAGACTCAGACAACTGAAAGGTTGGTAGACGATCAACACTGCACCTTCGGTTTGTCTCTCTCACTCTGTGTAAAGTTCCATTAAGTCACACCCATAGGAGGGTTTTCAAGTCACACGACGAACAGAGGTGGTTTGCCACTGCCTGCCTCTGCATAGCAACCCTGGACTTCCTTGGTGGTCTCCCACCCAAATACTAACCAGGGCCGACCCTGCTTAGCTTCCGAGACAGGCCCATAGCCAGGATTTTGTGGATTGTGGGGCAAATTCCTCCCCCGGTGGGGCTGAAGTTCTCAGTGTAGAAAGAAAAGCCATTCAGCCAATAGAAAGCTGTTACCAGGATAGATCTCTAAATTGCAAGCTGTCAGCCACTTTAGATGACAGTTCTCAGCCGCTGCAAGTTAATCACTTCTGCCAGCCTAAGCAACAATTCTAAGAACAAGCCGGCAGGTGGGGGTGAGGACTTCTACAGTCAAGAAAGCTAACACTTAGGCAGGAAAACTCTCTTAAAGGAGACCAGTTTCTTGACACAGAGGTAGAAGGGATCCTAGAGGTCACCTACTCCAACCCCCTTGCTCAGTGCGGGAATTAGTCAACTAGTCAAAGCACACACCTTTAAAAAAATGTTTTTAAATGATTGGAAAAAAGCATTTACAGGAGAAATTCTTCTGGGGCTGTGCCTTTAAGAAAGGGGGCAGAGACCCCAAAAGCCCCACCGTAGCTACGGGCCTGTTCCAAGATCTGACGAAGTCAGGCTAACCTGGACCATTCTCCTTTGACTATCTGAGTTTCAACAGACTTGATGGGGGTGGAGGCATTTATGTACAATTGGGCTGCCTCCTGATCAGTTCTGTCTTCTTGCTATCTCTAGATCTGGGACACAGCAGGCCAGGAGAGGTTTCGGAGCGTCACACACGCATACTACCGAGACGCCCACGGTAAGTAGATCTATGTGTTTCTCACACTTTCTCGGAGTGAGCACAGAGTGGACTGAGGCCGAGGAAATATCGACGGCAGCTAAATATAGGGCTATGTCAAAAGTAGCTCTTTGGGGAGCAGAAAAGAGCAAGAGTCCAGTAGCACTTTAAGGTAAAGGTAAAGGTTTCCCTTGCTCGAAAGCCAGTCGAATCCGACTCTAGGGTTGCGGTGCTCATCTCCGTTTCAAAGCCGAAGAGCCAGCGCTGTCCGAATACATTTCCGTGGTCATGTGGCCGGCATGACTAAACACCAAGGCGCACGGAACGCTGTTACCTTCCCACTGAAGCGGTACCTATTTATCTACTTGCAGTTTCTTGCTTTCGAACTGCTAGGTTGGCAGGAGCTGGAACTAGAGACGGGAGCTCACTCCGTCATGCGGCACCCGGGTCTCGAACTGCTGAACTACTGACCTTCCACAGCCTGCAGTTCAGCGTCTTAACCACTTGAGCCACCACAGCTCCTTTAAAGCACTTTAAAGGCTAACAAAATGTGTGGCAGGGGAGGAGCTTTCGTGAATCACTGCTCATTTCTTCAGATAGAAATATTACCTTTATTCATTCAGAAAATGCATTTTCCTTTTCAATTGCGGCCATCGTTGAGAGCCCGAGGCCAGTTCTTTCCCAGAGGGATCCTCCCAGCCAATTGGGGATCACATCTCAAACAGGTTAAGCATCACGGCCGCTCTGCAGCCAATCCAGTTTGGATCTGGGATGACATCACGGAGAGCCGTTTAAATGGTGTCAGAAGTGAGGCTTGTGGAGCGTCCTGAATGTGTTTCTGAGCCCTTTGTGGAGCATTTGCCAAAAAACGAATCAGCTTTGAAAGGGCCCAAAACGTTCCTGCAGAGCTCCAAGAAACACCTCCAGCACAGCACCTGAAATGCCTCTTCCAGACCTTGCTGAGCTGCCATACCTTTCTGTGGACCACCGACAAGGGCTGATTCTGCACCCATCTGTTTCCTCGCAGTTTTTCCACAGTCACATCAGAAGGTTAATCTCCCTCTACACAGCATGCCGCTCTCACTTTCTTTGTTCATCGGGTACTATGGTACCTTCTGCATAGATTTATGGCCATTCAGGGGTGACTTCACAGTCGGTATGGCGTTGCCCCGGGGTATCTGAATGTGGTTTTGAGCGCCACCTTTTCCTTCCTCCACTTCCAATTCCAAGGGAACAATAAGCAGACAACTTGACATGGCTTCGTTGATCTCTGTCAGTTCCCCCACTCCTATTCCCCCCTCTGTATTTATCACCTTGCCATGAATTTCTTGGCTCAGGCAGCTAGTGTCTGCTGAGGCAAGTGTGACACAGGAAAATCTGCATACCAATGATCTGAGGCAATGCAATGAAAACGGATATTCCGAGGCAAGGGGGAACCAGGTCGAGTGCTGATAAAATGCGGAGCAAATGCCAGATGCAGAATGGACCAAGGTCACACAACAGCGATGTGCTTTGGAGTTTGGTGGAACTCCTCTTCGGGCGGGATGCTACAGAAAAGGACAGCCAGTCAGGGACCACCTCTTTGTGTAGCAAGCGATTGAGCCCTTACGTTGTGGAATTCACAGACAAAGTGATGGCCATTAGTGTTAAAGGAGATTTGGGAAGGACAGGTCCACCCCTGACTGGTAGCCCTGGCAGACTAAATGAAGGAAACCTCCTCATTCAGAGGCAGTAAAGCTGCGAATCCAAGTGCCAGGTGACACCTTCCAGGGAAGGCCTTGACTTCTCTTCCCTGTTTGTTGTCCCTCCAGGGCAGTTGGGTCGCCGTTGCGAGAAACACAATGCTGGATGAGGTGGAGCGCTGTGGTCGGATCCAGTAGGGTGCCTCCGATGTTCAAAATGAATGACAGCTGTCCATGATGGAAAGCCCCTGTCTGTCGTTCTTGAGGGTTTTATGGTGGCATGAAAGGAGTCCAGGGAAAGACTGTCTTACTTCTTTCTATAGAGAGTGATTGAAATGTGGGATTCGCTACCAGAGGATGCAGTGATGGCCACAGGAATAGACAGCCTGAATACGGGATTAGATAGATTCATGGAAGACAGGTCTATCAGTGGCTACTTGCCATGGTGACTGAGGGGAACCTCCACTTTCAGAGGCACTAATCCTCTGAATCCCAGAGCCAGGAGGCAACATCTGGGGAAGGCCTCGTCCTCTGTGCCCTGTTGTTGGCCCTCCAGTGGAACTGGTTTGTTGTTGTGTGAGACGGGATGCTGGACTAGATGGACCCTCACTGGTCTGACCCAGCAGGGCTCTTCTGATGTTCTTCTCAGGGGAAGGCCTCGGCCTCTCTGCCCTGTTGTTGGCCCTCCAGAGGAACTGGTTGGCCCCTGTGTGAGGTGGGATGCTGGACTAGAGGGACCCTCACTGGTCTGACCCAGCAGGGCTCTTCTGATGTTCTTCTCAGGTGAAGGCCTCGGCCTCTCTGCCCTGTTGTTGGCCCTCCAGAGGAACTGGTTGGCCCCTGTGTGAGGTGGGATGCTGGACTAGAGGGACCCTCACTGGTCTGACCCAGCAGGGCTCTTCTGATGTTCTTCTCAGGGGAAGGCCTCGGCCTCTCTGCCCTGTTGTTGGCCCTCCAGAGGAACTGGTTGGCCCCTGTGTGAGGTGGGATGCTGGACTAGAGGGACCCTCACTGGTCTGACCCAGCAGGGCTCTTCTGATGTTCTTCTCAGGGGAAGGCCTCGGCCTCTGCCCTGTTGTTGACCCTCCAGAGTAATTGGTTGGCCACCGTGTGAGACAGGATACTGGACTACATGGGTCCTCACTGGTCTGATCCAGCAGGG